AAGCAGCTGATTGCAATCGGGCGCCCCGCGTCGGACGATGAGTTGCGTCGCCCCTGCCTACCTTCCGTACGCGACCCGTGATTTGCTAACTTTTTTCCCTTGTATTTAAAAAACTAAGCTTCGGATAAAATTTTGACTAAGGAAGAAATGTCTTAGAATCACGTCAGGAATACATTATTTTAAAGACAAACGCGTTTTCTGAGACACCCTGTATATGCATGCATACATAAAGTTTTTCACTTTTCAAGTTTTCGCTCTAGAGAAAAAGTTCGATACCCTTAGCGCTCACCGTATCTAGGTAAACGATATTGCAAAAACTTCCTAATATCGAAAGTTATTGTTCGTTATAATTATCGTATTGTAATTATTGTATTATAAACAATTATATTGTAAAATGTGTATATATATGTATATTTTAATGGTAGAAAATTTGATTTAATTAAGAAAATCATAATTATGTAGGAAGGAAAGTATTGTAATGATTATTTGCTGGAAGGTACGGTCGCAGTATATTTCTTATAGTGCGACACTCTTGAGATACACGTACGCGCGTGATCCGGCTTTGCTGTCGAGTGTTGAACTGTCGAAGGCGGTGAGGGAAAAGGAGGCGGCGCTTTAAAAATCGACCCAAAATGAGCAATTGTTTTCGAACACTATTGTATAGTTTAAGGTGCGAATTCATACAGCGACAAATCGCTGACTTGAGAGAAGTGGGAGAAAAATGTCGCCAGCGCTAAACATTTGTCGCTTTGCCGCCGGTACCTATTCATGTGACGACAAATTGCTAGCGACTTTAATGGCGGTCAGTTTACAGTAGAAAGAGTAGTGAAAAATGGTGAAAATGAAGGTGACAATACGTTCAAACGGGGTGTATTCCGCTAAGTGTGCAAATAATTTGGGAACAGCAGTAGCAAAAGCAGTCAAGAAGCGACGGATAATGATTGCAACTGCTGTAATGTTGGAGTTGCAAGAAACGCAAGTGAAGCGGGACTACAAAAAGAAGCAGTACTGGGTAGCTCCATACTTAAAAGACCGTCAGGAGCATAGCTTTTTTCACATATCCATCCCTAAACTGACATTCGAAGATAGCATACATTTCCATAACTATGTATTTTCGGCAACGCAATTGGAAGAACTATTGACATTAGTTGGACCACAACTGCAAAAAATGAATGTTATTCGAGAGTGCATAGGACCTAAAGAACGCTTAGCGTTAACATTAAGGTGTGTTACTTTTTATTATATGTAATAGTACAAAAATATGTCAAATGTTTGCTTCTATATTTCCAATGTTTCAAATATCTTGCATCAGGTGATTCGATGACATCGATGTTATACCAATATCTTGTAAGAGTTAATACAACAAGCAACATAATTCGAGAGACATGTAAAGCGATCTGGGATACCTTACAGCCACTAGTTTTACCATCTGCATTAACTGAAACAGAGTGTTTAGATGTTGCGCAGAATTTCGACGATGTAACAAATTTTGCCCACTGCATTGGAGCTATCGATGGCAAACATGTGACTATACAGGTTTGTTTTTTATTAGAAATATTTATCCCTAAAACCGGTTCTACATCAGTTGCAAATCGATCGCAAGTTTGTTGCGACAGCCAATCTGAAGCGTTGATTTCAAAATGCAAGCTTGTCGCAATAAGCTTGCGACTCGGCTTGCAACTAATGTAGAACCGGCTCAAAGTAATAAGAATTAAGAATGGTGATATCCTCTCTTTATAAGATATAAACATTCTTTACCCGAAATACTTTAAAAATCTATCACACTGCTTTATCATTATTTGATATAACCATTCGATATTGTTTCAGTGTCCCAACAATACCGGTTCTACCTATTATAATTATAAACAATCGCACAGCATTGTTATATTGGGTATTTGCGATGCAAACTATATTTTCCGATTTGTGGACATTGGAGCATACGGCCGACGAAGTGATGGTGGAATTTTTGGAGATAGCATCATAGGGAGCAATTTTGATTGTCAACGCATGAATGTACCGAAACCGGCAGCTGTTGAAGATGGACGAATTTTACCATTCTGCCTTATGAGAGACAAGACTTTTCCCTTAAAATCATATCTGCTTCGGTCCTACCCAAGGATTGGATTGACTCTGATGGATGATATTTTTAATTATCGATTAAGTTGTGCAAGAAGAATCATCGAAAATACGTTTGGTATTTTAGCGAGTCAGTGGCGAGTGTTTCGTAAACCGATTATTGCTCAGCCAGAAACTGCTAAATTAATTGTGCAAGCAATGGAGTGTCTGCATAACTGGCTCCGAAAAGAAGACATTGGAAAAAATGTGTATGTCCCCCCAAACATGATCGACGAAGAAAGCGAAGATTTAAATAGTTTCCAATCAGGTACTTGGAGAATAATGAAGGATGGATGCGCTTTTCAAGATATCACTAATTATGGAACCAACACAAATGCCCGAAATTGTATGAAAATACGTGATGAATTCCGCGATTATTTTTGTAATGAAGGATCAGTACCGTGGCAATATAATAGGCACAAATAAATGATTTTCGTATTCACATAATATCTTAGTAATATTATTTATTGAACATGTAGAAATATATAACATTATTATTTATTTAACATTATCTATTTTATTTTTTTTACTCGTAACATTATTTTATTTTCTTCTACTGATTGTTTACTCTCGTCTCACGCAAAAGTTGCAATATTGCGAGCATTGCTACTTCGCTTGCATTCACATTGAGAGCTCGCAGCTTAGAGGCGACAATCATTCCGAACTCAGTGAATTCATCATTGGGCAGGCCTCCAGTTACATCAACCGATATGGGTTCATTCATTAGGTTCATCATCCTGTCCATAATTGCTCCAGACTTGATCAATTTCTCGTTCCTTTCTGAAATGAATTTGTTCTTTTTTTACCTAAGTCGGCGGCACACGATGCTTGTTTTCTTGCTGGATTGCTAGATGGATTAGATTCTTGCCACCATATTACCAGTGCCAGCATCGCAACCAATACGGTGCTAAGAATCTAATCCAGCTAGCAATCCAGCAAGAAAACAAGCATCGTGTGCCGTCGGCTTTATTATTCACAATATATGTAAGACTACACTGAGAAAAACGTTTATTTAATGTTAACAAATATGTATAGTTGGATATGGCGGAAGAAATATTTCTTAACAAATATTTAGTTGTGGTGGATAGATCTTTTTAACTATAAATATACCATTTATAGTTCAAAAGACATTCATCACAACTACATATAATAATAATAATAAGCTCGGGAGGCAGCCGCCAGTTGGGGCCCGCCAACGACACGCAGACTAGGTCCATTGTGTCTTCCCGGTCGTACTATCTCCAGATCAGATCAGACCTGTCTTCCTCCAGAAACGGAGGAGGACTCCCTGACCTGGAGTTGACATACCTACTTGGGCTCGAGAAAGATCGAGCCCAAAAGAAACCGCTTTTGTCTTGCATACGCTGGGCATTCACATAACACGTGGAGAGAGGTTTCTTCCTCGTGTTCACACTTCCTGCACTTCGAGTTATCACTGTGCCCCAGCTTGTGCATGTGGTAGTTAGTGAAGCTATGGCCCGTGTAGATCTGTACCGCCAGCCTGCTTTCCCCTCTCCTCAAGGCCCTAATGCTCCTGGCAAGGTCCGTGCTAGGCGGTTCTCCCAGCGCAGGACTCTCGCCTGCCTGCATTTGGTTCTTGTCTTTTTCTTCCAATAGTTGATACGACGGTCCCGTAACCAGCCCTTTATTTTTGCCCTGCAGATGCAACTGGGCAAATCTAGAGCCGGTTCCGGTCCCACCAGCCTGGCTGATGAGCCACTTCTTGCCAACTCATCAGCAATCTCGTTACCTTCGATTCCCGAGTGTCCCGGAACCCATACAAGAGCAACATCGTTACCCGTGGACAGTCTGTTCAGAGCACATTTGCAATCCCAGACCAGCCACGAGTCAAAGACGCATGCCCCCAGCGCCCCCAGAGTCGCCTTGCTATCGGAACATATCCTGATGAGTCTGCCCGTCTCACCTGATGCGGTTAACGCATTTGAGCACAGCCCATGATTGCTACCACTTCCGATTGGAATACAGTGGTGAACTCTCCAAGGGAGAGCCTCCCTGATTCCACTACGGCATCCGTAGATCCCGGCACCGGCGCCTTTATCTTGGAGCCATCCGTGTACCAGACGTCCCCATTCCTAACAGCGGGCACCTCATGGCTCTCCCAGTCCTCGCGACTAGGAATATAGATCTTGTAAGATCTGTCGAAGTCGCGCCTTATTGGTATTCTGTCCTGTCTCATGTCAAACACGGTTTCCATTTGAAGCTCCTGCGGTAACCGGGTGTGAGTCACACCGCTCATCCATTTTCCCTCGCACTTCAACCTATACGCAGTGACCGCTGCTGCCGCCACTATCGCGAGATGGAGTGGTTCTATGCCGAGCAGCACTCCCATTGCCGCCACTGGCGTTGTCCTCATTGCACCCAGAGGCCCCCTTAAGACGAGAGCCTTGACGCGTTCCAGTGATGCGCGGGCCTCGGTTTGCTGTGTCCTTGGCCACCAGACCACCGCAGCATAGAGCAATCTTGGTCGGAGCACCGCAGAATATAGTCAAAACACTCTGTCTGGCTGTAATCCCCAAGTTTGCCCAAAGGTTCTTCTGCACATCCAGAAGTATATGCTGGTTTTCTTACACACTGATTCCATGTGCAGCTTCCAGTTCAATCTTTATTCAGGACAATTCCCAGATACTTGACCGACATTCCAGGAGCCAGTCTGACTTCCTTCAATACGGGCCCCTCCACGAAGCCAATCTTGTACTTGTGTGTAAAGATCACCAGACTTGTCTTACTCGGGTTCACCGATAGACCTGTCCTCTCACACCATTCCTCCACCACCCCTAGAGCCCCTTGTGTGAGCTCCAGGAGCGTTTCCAAGAAAGGGCCTCCTATCAGGATCGCCAAGTCATCAGCGTACCCGATTGCCTTGAAGCTCTTGTCATTAAGCTCTTCAAGTAGCTTATCCACTACCAGGCACCACAAGAGTGGTGAGAGGACTCCCCCTTGGGGACAGCCTCTCCCCACCCATCCTTCGACACTCACCGTACCTAGCGATGTCGTCACTTGGCGTCCAAGCATTCCCCGGATCCATTTAACAAGTTTCACCGATACTCCCCGCCTCGGCACAAACTACCTCATGTGGAGTGTTGTTGAAGGCCCTCTCAATGTCCAGGAAGGTGCCTACAAAAAGCCCCCCTCCTGGAGTTGTCGTTCAATACTCTAGACAACCGAGTGGAGGGCCGGTACACTCGAATGGCCCGGTAAGCGTGCTACTTGGCATGCAGCGGATACCGAGACAGCACACAGTCCCTGATATATACATCAACCAGCTTTTCCAACGTTTCAAGAAGGAACGAGTTCAAGCTGATTGATCTAAAGTCTTTAGCAGTGACATGGTTCGCCCGCCCCGCTTTGGGAATAAAGACGACTCTCGCCCTTCTCCACGCTCGGGGGGTGTAACCGAGAGCTAGACAGCCCCTCAACATCCTCGTGAGGGGCCCAGCCCTCTCTGAAGGAGAGCCAGGAAAATAAGGTTGGGCCCCGCCGACTTGAACGGTTGAAAGGAGCCAATTGCCCATCTAACTCTAGTTGGCCTCACTATTTCTGCCGCTAACTTCCAATCGTTGGCACATGCCCTGAAGGAGCCCGCGTCAACTTCCTCGCACCTATCTATATCTCTCCGGAAACCAGGAAAGCTGGCTTCCAGAAGATGCTCCAGGCATCTTTCTTCGGATACCATGGTACCGTCTGACATTCGAACTTCTTCCAACGCAGCGTCTGGGTTCCTGGACAGAAATCTGCAAAGCCTAGCAGTGGCCGGTATTCCCCCCACCAACTCGCAGAAATCCCGTCACTTCTTTGCTTCTACCACAGAGTCTCTATACTCCCTCTGAGTCTTCCTGTAAAGATCCCAATCGGAGGGCCAGCCCGTGTTCGTCGCCTTGTTCCAGGCTCTTCGAGCCTTGACCCTGAGGCTCTGCAGCCGTGGATTCCACCAGGGGGTTCCCCTGTTGTTGATGACTGTCCTGGCCGGACAGTTTGCCTCATAGGAGCCAACCAGAGCCCTTTGCAGATGATCCACGCAGAGCTCCAGCTCCCCCGCCGTCCCGTGCTTTCTGGGAATCTTTGAGGTTCCTTTCTAGGTCCCTCTGATAGGAGTCCCAGTCTGTCCTCTTTGGGTTCCTTACCTTCTTGACTTCCACTTTGAGATCTGAATGTCTGAAAGATATTAGCCTGTGGTCGGAGAGCGATGTCTCATCCGACACCTTCCATTCCTTCATCGCATAGAACAGACCCACGTGAGCAAAGAGTGAGGTCTAATACCTCACTCCTCCCCGCCGCACAGAAGGTGGGTTCGTTACCTTTATTCAGAACCTCCAGGTCAGTCGTTATCAGATACTCCAGCATCTTCCTTCCCCTTTCGTTCGTGTCGGTATTTCCCCATATGGTGTGGTGCGCATTAGCATCACACCCCACCACCAGTGGCATTCCTTCCTTCTGGCAAAGATCCACCAACTTGACTAGCTCCTTCGGTGGTGTCTCCCCTCCATGCGGGAGGTCGAGCAGATGACCAGCTTGTTGGTGCCTCCAGCACCGCCAGCTGTCCTCACCTCCACCGCCGTCAGGTCCCTAGAACGTACCCCGGGCAAGAGACGTGCATCCAGCCTCTTGACCGCTATACACGCCCTGGGTCCCTGTTCGGTGGGAGCTTTAAAGAGCTTCCCACATGCTGCCACCCCCCTGACACACCCACGGACGACCCATGATTCCTGTATTAGGGAAATGGCTGTGTGCCTCACAGACTGGCGGCTGGCTAGAACTGCCGAGGCCCCTTTGCTGTGATTCAGGTTAATTTGGGTAACTTCGATCATCGACCAGTCTATTGTTTGGTCTAGTCTTTAGATCGAGGCTCCTCCTTGTCCCCCCTCCCCACTGAGATCGAGCCACCTTTACAATGACTCGATCCCATAGCATAGCTTGGAGTCCCGCTCCCTTAACTTACGAGCGCTCCAAGATGCCGAAAACGTAGTTCCTCCCCTCAAGGGAAGCGCCTACGTTTTACCGGTGAGCCTTGTATCCCCCTCCACCGGTTTAGTAAGGGCCATCGAGGGACACGGAGTCTGCCCTTCGAGAGCCTTCTCCCTGTCCCTCTTCGCCCTTCTCTTCTGGGTTCCGCTGCGGTTCCTCTTGTGATGAGTCCCTGCATCACCCGCCATGCTCCCATTTCTTTCCGAGCCCGAGGGAGCCCGTTCCGAAATGGGAGCCATCTCTACTTTCGCAGCTACCACCTCGCTTTCCGAGCCCTCGCGCGCCCGTACTTGCGGCGCGGTTGCTGCCGCCTTCGCCGAGTGCTCTTTCGGGCCCTCGATTATCTCGTCTTGAATGATATTAATAGTATTCTCCATTCTAATACAAGTCTCACGAGCAGGTAGGGAACGACAAGGTCCGCCCACACAGAGCCCCGCATGTGTGGGTAAGGCTAAATACTCTGGGGTTTCGCCTGGTGCTCCAGAGGCATAGACCACTGCACTGCTCCCCCAGTACCACGCAGCCCTCACCTCGATAGCTCACAGCTTGGCTTGGGGGGCTGGTCCACGGCAATGGCCTTCCCGGCCCCACGCAGGATTTTATACCTGAGGGGTCCGTTTATAACCGCCACTACCCGAAGGGACCTCCAGTCACACGCGGGGTTTCACATCCGGGAGACCGGGCACCCCTCCGGACGTCCTCCTATCCGCCACCCGGAGATGCGCCCGATGGGTAGCCCAACCCGACGGGACAACTACATACATATTATAGTAATAGTTCAGAAAATATTTCTTTCGCCATATCCAACTGTACATTTATTAACATTAAATAAATGTTTTTAATTTATGTTTTTACATTTGAATTTCTTTTTATATGTCATCCAATAGAAAATTCAAATTCATATTAAAAAATGTGCATTTTTTATATGAATAAATTTTCAATATCAATGTTTGTTAACACTCATTAATAATTGAATTATTCTTACGTGGTGTATATTCACTGTTTCGCGATGTACTGTCACTGTGGTCATCGACAGATATTTCTGTGTTGTCTTGCGAAACATCTGGACTGTTGGAGAGATCGGGAATATTCGATGTCATTCTAGAAGAGAAAAGTTAAAATAAAGATTATATAGGGTGTTTCCAAATTAAATCGCAAAACTTCGGGAGCGTGTAGAGGAGTAAAAAACTAAGAAAAAAAGTCCTATAGACATATGCTCGTTTTTGCTCCGTTTCAGAGAAATCGAAAAAAAATGTTTACATTTCTTGCCATATCTAGCACCGACATATTTGATTACATTTTCCACTTTCTGTTATGAATTTGTCAGTCGCTCTTTGAAAGCCTTTAACAGTAGATGAATTTTGTCTTTTGCAATATGCCGCGTACGTATTCTAATAGTGAATATGCTGATATGGTTTTTGTATACGGTTTCTGCAACGGTAATGCTTTAAAGGCGGTGCGAGAATATGCACGACGATTTCCAAACAGAAGAGTGCCAAACCGAAGAGTGTTTATGTTGACATTTAATAGATTGCGAGAGACTGGA